TAGGATTAGTGATTAGGGCACTCGACTCACAATCTTCATTAAATCAGTATAATAGATGACAATAAAAATCGATAAAATATCAGATAAAATTTATGTAAAATTTAAAATAAACTGATTTGGTTGCATAAAAAATATTATGTTGCTAAAAAATAAAACAGATCAAAGAACAGACGGTTACTCAAGTTAATATGCTTGAAAAAATAATTCTATGCCAAGAGTTGGCTTATCAATATTTTGTCATTTAACATCTATATTTCATTGCTGTGTATCTTTTAATTTGAAGAACAATGTATTATACACATGCAATTGTTAAACTAAATCGGCTTTAAAACTGAGATAACCTAACTCTTTCAGTCAAAATCGAACCAGTACAACTGTATAGAAATTATCACAATATGGTTTTATCATGGATTTCGGCTACGAATATATTCTAGATTTAAAAAAAAAAAAACTCAATAAAGTTTTGTTATTTGTAAGAATAACCAATAGATGGCAAAATTTTTCTGTCATATAAAGCTAATATGCTAGCCGACACACACACACACACAAGGAAAATATTAATTTAACAGAAACACAGCTTAGAAATTTTCTTGTTATATCTAAGAATTACCAATAGATGGCATTATTTTTCCTCCTATAAAGCTATTATTTTACGCTGGTACTTATTCAACACACAAGGAAAACATAAATAAAAACACAACTTAGTAACATTATTGTTATTTTTTTCGCTTTGAGTTCACTTACTGATTAAGTATATTTTATTACAAGTTATAGCTTTTACAGTAAGTAAGATCTGTATTTAGAACAGGTACGGCGTTTCGATCACTGATGCAATCATTCTCAAGTAATGATCGCACCAGTGATCAAAACGTCGTACATGTTCTACATACAAATCTTAATCAGTGGCACAGCGGTATGTCTGCGAACTTACAACGCTAGAAATCGGGTTTCGATACCCGTGGTGGGTAGAGCACAGATAGCCCATTGTGAAGCTTTGTGCTTAACTTCAAACAAACAAACTTAATTACTGCAAAATCTGTATCTTGTAATAAAATATTCTTGTTATTTGTAAGAATTACCAATAGATGGCACCGTTTTTCTTTCACATATATAAAGCTAATATACTAGCTGGCGTACCCATTTAATACACGAAGAAGACATAAAGGAGTAACATAGGGGGTCAGATCCGAAGTGCAATCCCTTATGTCACACCACAGGATGCCCTAAGGGAACATGTCAGGCTTGGTGACAATCGGTCCAGTATTTACCGGTTATAAACAGACTCTCACGCACACAAAGACTTTTGTCAGATAATGGTTGAGATACGGGTCATAATGATATTCAAATGTGGCATAGGTACACTGAACGTACATAGATTAAAATCAGTATTTTGTTAAGAATACAAAATATGTTATTAACAAAGTATGTACCATAATGTCCAGAGTTATTCAACAAAATGTCTTAAATTTGTTTATTTTAGTGCAAACTTATCTGCTGTATCCACCTCGGGGAATCGAACTCCAGATTTTAGCGTTGTAAATTCGCAAACTTACCGCTGACCCACCGGGAGAAAACATAGCTTAAATATGACCTATTTTTATATTTTGAATATGCAAAGTCAAAGAAACTCGATGAAACTTTTGACAGTTGGTTCTCTCTTCTTTACCTTGGTACTTTTTAATCTCCTGATGTTTAGTGCTTCTAACAGATGTAACTGTAACACTTCTCCCTATTAACACACAACTGATTCCTTCTAGCGCCGCAGCTATAACGCTTATCAGTAATAAAACACCACCTATTCTCTGTGTCAATACAACTACCTTTACGATACCTTTAAAAGAGGTGAATTTATGATATTTAATTAACTTTTTAAAATAATTTATATGTTTCCCTCGTTTTTCTGACAGTTGTAAAAAGTTTTTGTTTATTCGACGAAAAATAGTTCCAAACAGACTAAGTTTTTAATTGTTATTCTTCCTTTACGTCATTTCCGGAAGTAATTAATGATACTTACAGTTTCTTTCATTAGCTTGAATGTTTCGTCAGTTTAACTAGATGATTTTTGTAGTTTACAGACCTGCATCACATATTCATCACTCTTTCAGCTCCCTGGACTAGGACTATTCAGTTACTGAAAGCCTTAACTTCATTGGATAACAGTTTTAACGAAACAAATGGACAGACCACACCAAGACTATTCAGCTACTGAAAGCCTTAACTTCATTGGATAACAGTTGTAACAAAACAAATGGACAGACCACTTTTTAATAATGAGACACGCGCACCTTGAGAATCCTCTTGAGACCACAACTAGGGTCATCGCCGCAGTGAAGGGTGACCACGTTATTTTACAAATGATATATCTCAAGAGAGAAATAAACTGGCTGTAATATTAATCTTTCCCACTTCACTGGTGACTAATTGTCTGGAGTGTTAATGGGCGTGGTGCCCTCCACCAGTAATATATCAACTCATGTAGTAGTTCCAGACATGCAACTATTACAGTAATTAATTGAATCATGGTCTCTATTAAAATTGTTCGGCTCCGGGTTTCAACAGTGGATGAAGGACACATGTATGCAGTTTTTGTTGTTGTTGTTGTTTTTGCCATAGTATGTGTAATCACGTCTAATGCATGCGCGGTCACCAAAGACGTCGTTAACACATGACGACAGAAAAGGCTATGTGCTTCTTGTGCCCTGTAGAGATGAAACCACCTATTCTAATATAAAGCCAATATCGCAGAGTGTATGGAAAAGATTAGCCAGTTTCTGTAAAGAAGTGGTACTGATAATTTCACTCCTCTGGGGTTATGTGAAGGATATCGTCTACAGGACAAAGGTGACCGATCTGGAGACATTGCGATGCAAAAACTACAGTAAAACCCGATTTACTGGCTAGTACATGGATGGAATATCAGGTCGATATTTTGAGGACCACAAACGGAACACATGTAGAAGTTTACTGATGACAACTGGTGAGTTGCAAAAATATGCCCTTCATATGCCCTTCACCCACCACAAAACATAGGTCATGGTTTAAGCTTGTATTACGTCACATTATTTTAGTATACCTTACATATACAAGTGGTATTAATTAATAAAGATAAATTTTATTTATTTTAATGTTGTTTAGTTTCTTCTCATAATTTTTTAACATATATTTTTGGAGGGGTTTACTCTGCTTTTTGCTTGTAATAGAGCAAAGCCACATTTGTCCACCGCGTGGAATCGAACCCCGAATTTTAATGTTGTAAGCCCGTAAACTTTCCACTGTCCCACCGTGGGATATTGGGGAGGAGGAGGTCACGGTGTACACGAAGTTTCGTATGAATATCTTAACATCTTTTAGTGCTAGATATAAATCATTTTTACAAATTAATTTGATTTTCAAATTTCTTGGTTTAAAGTTTTTCGTTGGGTAACATTTAGCACAGATCTGGTTAGTGACAGATCCACGTTGACCTTTTGTGCTGGAGAAACACATCTGATTGACATGTAACGATGTTCTCTACTACTGTTGTTGTAAACTA